AATTTGAAAAAAAAAATGTAAAAATTGTTTTCATATGTAACTGGGATAAGATTAAGGATAAGGTAGCATCGCCAGCCGCTAACCCAATCCTGTTCACATTAAGAACCTGCGCAGAGGAGCCCTACGTTCTTGGTGGCAAGCTCCATATAGGCTGCACTCATCCTCTTTTCCCATTTATAAGAATTGGCAGATCCAAAGAAGCTGCTCTCAAAAGCAGCAAACATTACCTGCAGCAGAGCAGGTATCCTTATCCTTTGGATAAGGATAAGATTTAAATAAGATTTAAAAAAAGAAAGCAAGATCATCCTAAAACTATTATGATTATTTCTTTAAATAAATGAAGTTTTATTCAAATTGTAAGACTCTTTTCAAACTTATGGCTTAATTAGGTGATTACTGTAGACTGTGGGGTAGAATTTTTCTGCTTTGTTTTTATTTTTCATATGTTGATAATATGAACTCATGGCCTTTCTCTACTAGAATATGTAACTTCCAGACGACTACAAATCTATTAGGAATTTCATATAGTATGGAACAAAAACAACAAACTTGTTTTTTCTTGAATCATTTCAGTTCACTATTCCCAGTGGGAATCACTGAACTATTTAGATGTTGGAAGCTTTTGAAACAGTAGAGGAGGCCAACATATGCTCCTGGTGTTGGAACATCGCTGTGACTTGTCGTTGGTTATAAAATCGTCTGCTTCACACAGTGTGAATTTGGCCATAACATAAATGAATAGAAGCATCATCTCATCTTCCAGATGCCTTCGTTTATGATGCTCTCTTTGGCTTCTGAATATATTTTCCCAGGATTTCATTTCACAGACTACCAATGAGCTAGAAATGAATTAATCCATGAAAGCAGAAAAATCTACACATGTAAGAAAGACTAGATCTAAGAAGCTTTATTTATGCTAAACTAAGAATTTTGTGAGTAACACATAGACAAATAATAGCTGATCTTTATTGAGCATTCTAAGTTTTGCGAAACATTTTATAAATGCATTATTATTAAAAGCGAATTTGAGGATTTCATTTCCCTCTCTGTCTCTCTCTCTGTCCCTTCCTTCCTTCCTTCCTCCCTTCCTTCTTCCCTCCCATTACTTTAATCCTATCATCAAATAAAAAGGATAGTATAGAGAAGTTGCAGTAGGGGTGTGCTGGTAGATGTTTAACACCCAGCTCTGGGTGGGTAGGTAGGGATTGTAGGCATGACACACTTTAAAATTTAATCTGCATTATTAACATTTTCTCTAGACAGCCAACAAAACAATAAATCAAGCCCTCATTTGTAATTTGTAGATTTCTGAGGCATAAAAGCTCACACTGAAAACTTAACAATCAACTTGTTGCTGGCTCGAATGAACCACTGATTTGCCATCAATGACAGCATGAATGTCAGAGAGAACTTTTTGTAAAACGTGGTGGCAGTGGGTGGGAATGACGTGGAGAAAATGAAAATTATTATTCATCATTAGAAATATGCAAATGGATCAGTGATCTCAACCAATCAACAAGCATTTATTAAATTCAATCTAAATGCCAGGCATTGTGTTAGGTGATACAAAAGGGAGGCAGTTCCTGCCCTCAGGGAGCTTGCATTTTTACCAAGACTATAACATGCTTACAAATATATATATGCAGATGCAGAATAGAAAATAAATGCACAATGTAATAATGGGGGCATCAACACCTGGGGGGATCAGGTAAGGTCACTTGAAGGAAATGAACAGGGTTGTGGCTGGGACGAACCCTAAATCATAGCCCATGAATCCTGTGGTAGAACATAAACTCCTTCAGTCAGTGAGTCAATAAACATTTATTAAGTGCTTACTATATGCCACATCCTGTACCAAGCACTGGGAATACCAAAAAAGGCCAAGACAGTTGCTGCTCTCAAGAACCTCATAGTTTAATGGTAAAGACAATTGCAAACAACTATATACGTTTAAGTATATGCAGGATAATTTGGAGATAATCAATAGAGGGAGGAAACTAGTATTAAAGAGAATCAGGAAGCAAGGGCTCTTTTTTGTTTTTTTCCTTAAATCCCCAGAACCTAGAAGAGGCCCTTGCCCATGCCAGACTCTTAGTAAATGTATTTCGGACTGGAGTAATAGGATTCTATGTCTTTTAAGGATGGCACTGTTAAGCTAGAGGAGATACATTACCAGAAGATTGGCCACAAGGTGAGGACGTTTTTCAGCCACAGTAACTCTAAGACACAGAGAGGTTGTGATTTGTATGAGGGTAAAACCATGAGCCTATGAAGTAATGAAACACAAAGATAGTTCATGTTTAGGCTATCCTGCACAATTTTCCAAGTATATTCCTCACTACAGCCCTGGGAGTTAGGTTGTGCTAGTAGTTAGAATCTTTGTTTTATAAACGAGGAAATTGACACTCTCAGACATCCAGTGATTTGCTTAAGTCTAACAGTTAATGGGGCTGCTAAGTGGCAAATTGGTTAAAGTTTGAGGCCTGGTATTGGGAAGACTCATCTTTTTGAGTTCAAATCTAGCCTCAGACATTTACTAGCCGTATGACCCTGGGTAAGTCACTTAACCCCGTTTGCCTTAGTTTCCTCATCTAGAAAATGAGCTAGAAAAGGAAATGACAAACCGCTCCAGTATCTTACCAAGAAAACCCCAAACGGGGTCATAAAGAGTCAGACCTGACTGAAATAAATCAACAATTAGCAGTTAATAAATAATAGAGACAGGACTGTAATCTAATGTAAGTCTAATTGATTTTTTTCCATTTTACCACCCTATCTCAATAGTAGTATCATTTCCATTTATAAATATAATCCATAAGTAATAATAATACTACTAACTAGCATTTATATAGCCCTTTAAGTTTTGTAGAGAGCTTTTGATATTCACCACAACCTTATGAGATAGGTGCTATCATTCCCATTTTAGATTAGACGGGGAATCTGAGGCAGAGGTTGTGATAGGTTTACAGCTAGTGCGTGTTTAAAGATAGATTTGAATTCAAGTCTTCTTGACTCAAGGTCCATCACTCTGTCCACTGCACCATCTAGCTGCTTATTTTGTTGTTCAGTCTTTTCAGTTGCATCTGACTCTTCATGACCCCATTTGGGGTTTTCTTGGCAAAGATACCGGAATGGTTTGCCATTTCCTTCTCTAGCTCATTTTACAGGTGAGGAAACTGAGGTAAACAGGGTTAAATGACTTTCCCAGGGTCAAACAACTAGTATATGTCTGAGACTACATTTGAACTCAGGTCTTCCAGACTCCAGGCCTGGTCCTGTGTGTACTGTGCCACCTCGCTGCCTGATCTTTCAGCTAGCAACTATCAAATTGATTCATTCATCTTCAAACATTTCTAAAACACCAGGTATTATGATAGGTACTAAGGATACAAAAACAAAAGCAAACCATTCCCTGACCTCAAAGAGCTTACATTTTATTGAAACATGGATTTAAATTTGAGAGGTCCCTTACAAGCCATCTATTCCAACCCACTTATTCCACAGATAGAGACTCACACCAGAGAGATTAAATATCTTGCTTGTGATCACATAGGTAGTAAGTAACAGAGCTGAGACTGGAGCATAGGTCATCTGGCTCTTAGTACCTACTTTGTTTAAGGCACTGTGCCCAATGTTGGCTCCTTTCTTATATAGTTGACACATCTAATAAGCTTGATCCATTTTCTAATAGATATACATTTACTACTACAACAGAACAGAACATTTATTGTCACTATTATGATCAAGAAGTTAGAAAACCATTAAAAAAAACAATGGACACTCGTGTCTCAAAGTCAGAGAAGAAATTAGCAATTTTTTGTCTTTGTTAAAGGCTATCAGTCAGCCAAAAAAATCAACTGACAGCTTGTTTTCTTTAACTATACTCATTAGTAATTCTTAACATATTCATTGTGTGTGTGTGTGTGTGTGTGTGTGTGTGTGTGTACCCAAGCATTAGCCTAGGAAACAAAAAAAGGAAACCTAAGCATAACTTTATTGGGCTTAATGGACATCATTTTCATATGCTAACAGTCCATGGTGAAGATTATGTAAACCAACCATTTTATTAAGAACAGATTTGTCAACTGGGACCATCTACTAATTTACTAATTCATGACATGTGAGCCAGTTGATGGATTTCAAATGATGTTTTTAGTGCCTAGACTGAAAATATCATAGAATCAGAGATTTTTTTTTTAGTTCCTAGACTAGAAATATCATAGAATTAGAGATTTTTGAAAACAAGAGAGAACAAGGGATCATTTAATTTGCCCTTCCACCATTTCAGAGGTGAGAAACCTGAGAGCTGCAGGAATGAATTGACTTACCAAAAATCACATGGATAACTAACAGGGAAACTTGGATTATAACTCAACTCTCCCAGACCCCAATCCAATGTTCTTTCCGTTGGATGGAAGTAGGTATTTAAGCTTTATTTACAAGAAAGTTTATTTTCAAGAAAAATAAGACTCATGTTTTAAGAATTCTGTAGGAGTCACTCCTACAAATTATATAAACAGAGAATGAATTAACTGTGTAATTATGAATATTCATAGTCACTGTGATAAAAGTGAGAGATGCCAGATTGTTCAACATATGAGATCCATGTGTGTTTTGTGTGAATGTTTTCTCTCCTTTTTTTTTTCTAACACATCAAGCATTGACCACAATGTGGGATGTTGGATAATGGTGATGTAACAGAAGGCTGCTAAGGTCTGTCATCTTCAGTGACTTGGTTGTCTAATCATCTTCTCTCTTTCATAAATGGGAAACATTCACAAGAAACCAATGCAAAATCTATGTCAATCAGTATCTCTCATTTTTTTTTGTTTTATCTATTACATCATTTGGTTTTCAATGTCTGGTTTTATATTCAATTTCAAAAAAGTCAATTGACCAAGTGGTCATAAGAAATACCATCTTTCTACCATTCTTTATAAAATATCACTTGTAAAGCTTTCTACTAATGAATGTTATTGGGTTGTTTTTGTTTTTTTCAGATGCAGAGCCTAAATATTTGATAGTTGTGCGACCTGTACCCCCTCCAAGCCAAAAGAAAAAATGTTCAGGTATTATAATATCTGCAATTTTTTGTTTAATCACAAGTCAGACTTTTCTATTTTGTTTACAGTAGCTTGCAAAATGAGCCCCTTGACCATGCATGATATCATCTGATAAGGCTGCTAGGTGGAACAGTGGTTAGAGCCTGGGTCTAGAATCAGGAAGACCTGAGTTCAGGTCCAACCTCAGAAAGTTACTAGCTGTGTGACTCTGGGCAAGTTACTTAAACTTAGTTTGCCTCAGTTTCCTCATTTGTATAATGGGGATAATAATAGGACCTACCTCATAGAGTTGTTGTGAGGATCAAATGAGATAATATTTGTAAAGCCTTAGCACAGTGCCTGGCACAGAGTAAGCACTATATAAATGCTAGCTATAACTATCATTATTATCATCAATCATCTATTCACACAATTCACCCTTCATAAACATTCTATAACTGGGGAGTTGACATTTGAAGTGCTGTTGCACGTATGTTGAGGGCTAATTTTATGTTTAATTATTGCCAAGAGTGAGTCAGGGAAGGAAGTTCATTTTCCAAAGGTCGGGGCAGGTCATGTTGTCTGTGGATTCTAAGCCATAAGTAGAGAGAAATTTGAGTTCTAGCATCTTTCCTTCTACCCCTGCTTATTACTCATGCTAATGAAACACCTTGCTGTGTACTTGTCCATAGCACAGGGGAGAGAGAGTAGGGTGCAGGAGGAGAGGCAGAAGAGGGGGAGAAAGGGTAGATGAGGAAGGCAGAATGAGCAGAAGAGGAGGAGCAGGAAAGAAAAGATAATTATAATAGTGACACTTCACATTTTTCTATCACACTTTATGGTTTTCCTTAGATCATAAATTAATAAACGTAAGTGACCTCATCTGTAAATCAATTCATCTGTAAAAGAGGAATAGTAATAATAATACCTACTTCACTGAGTTATTGTGAGGGCCAAATGAGAGAATATGTAGAGTGCGTTGCAAATGTTAAAAAGCTTTATAAATGCTAGCTATTATTATTATGACATGAAAAATTGGTAGAATTTTAAAAGTAACAACAAGAGTCATAGGATTTGGAGCTAGAAAGGAACCTTAGAATTCATCTAGTCCAATAGTTCTTAACATTTTTGTGCCTTGGATTACTTTGTCAGTCTAGTGAAGTCTATGAATCACTTCTCAGAATGGTATTTTATATGCATAAAATAAAATGCATGGGACAAAGGAATCCATTTATAATAAAATAGCCATAAAATATTTTTTAAATAAAACTTCATAGATACCACGTAAAGAATCCTTGATCTAGTCCTGGCCTAGTTCCTTTCCATTGGAGAAAAAATTGCTGCTAAATGGTACAGTGGATAGAGTGTCAGGCCTTGAGTAGGGAAGACCTAAGTTCGAATTTGGTCTCAGACACTTCCTAGCTGTGTCATTCTGGGCAAGTCATTTAACCCTGTTTGCCTCAGTTTCCTCATCTACAAAAATGAGCTGGAGAAGGAAATGGCAAACCACTCCAGTATCTTTGCCAAGAACACCCCAATGGGGTCATGAAAAGTCAGACACAACTGAACAGCAACAACAAAGTGGAGGGCAGTGAGAAAAATACAGGTGGTGGAGTCAAAGGGAAACTACATTTAAATCCTAATTCTGCTGTTTACTAGCTACATGACTAGATGACTTCTAAAACTCTATTTACCTGCACAGTGAATTCTTCGCCATTCATTACCATTTGACAATGACATATTTCCCATAGTCAATATATCCTTAGTCAATTTCTGACATAATCCCACTACAAACTATCCCCAGGAATAGAAAATGTTAAGCAAAATAGAACAAGGCAGTGGCTGTATCTGACAGTATATGCAATATTCTGCAACCGTAGTCTCCCACCCTTCTGCCAAGAAGGAAGCACTCCCATGTATTTGATTGACTATAAATGTGAGCACAATGTCTATTTCAATATTGATGAACAAGAAAAAATGAATGCAATTCCATGGCTACCTCAATTTCAATATTTTTAAAATTCCCACAGAATGGGGCAGCTAGGTGACACAGTGGATAGAGCAACAGCCCTGAAGTCAGGAGGACCTAAGTTCAAATCCAGCCTCAGACCAAACACTTGACACTTACTAGCTGTGTGACCCTAGGCAAGTCACTTAACCCCAATTGCCTAAAAAGAAAAAAAGTTAAAAAAAATTTCCACAGAACTTCCTTGCATGTTGTTGAATTTCACCTGAACTTTATCCTGCTCTAAGATAATGATGATGATAATAATAGTATGTATATAGTACTTTAAGTTATGCTAAGTACTTTACATGTGTCATTTTATTTGATCCTCACAAAACTCTAGAGAATATGAAGTTTTAGTCATCTTTATGTATTTTAAGTATATTACATTCCCTTTAGATTTCTGAGTATCTTTGAAGCCAATTCTCATTGTCTTGATTTTTAGTGGTCAACTGGGTCAATTAATTGTTCAGTCTTGCTCTGAATACACTCAGTCGAAATATCTGCCCTCTCTTGCAGAATTCAGGAATATTTTTGTTTTCCTAATCTGTTTCGGAAAGGTGTAATGACTAATTGAAGATTAGTTTCCCTGAGGAAAGATGGCATTCTAAATTTTATACCAACAGATGTCACAAAAATTTTAATTTAATTTTGTTGTTCTCTTATTTAAGATGACAAAATCATATATTTAATATCCTTATTACTTTGTGTTTGAAGTAGGTGCATTTGATGATAACAAAATTAAAATTCCTTTTCTATAATTATTACATGGACTGGGTTTGCCCTAGAGAGAAGAAATAAATTAGTTTGCTTAGGCTTAAATCACATTTTTTCATATCCATATGTAACTTGTCTTTGGGCCTTTTTGATTCCTCTTCTGGGGCCCTCATTTCAAGTTTGCCCTCTATTTTTCCTTTCCTTAGACATATACATATATAGACACATACAAACATACACATGCATACACAAATAGGAGCTCTCCAGATCTACCTTCTGGCTGAGTACTCCATATGTTGGCCCTTTATTCACCAACAACTCTCCCTAATTAAAAGGACTGGTAAAAATCATTGATTTTTATGAACCCTATTGGTAAATCTATGAATTAGGTAACTTCAGAGAAGATATTTTATTTACTCTGCTTCTATTCTAAAGGAAATAGTAGAATCCATTTAAAGATCATATATTTGTGTCTTTTTTATAAAAAATTATTAGCCAGCTGCATTTTTCATTCAAAGATTTTGTCCTGCATGTCAATAAAGATAATATTGGAAGGATAAGTCATACATCCTGAAATATTAAATTTGTCATCAACATATTGCCCTGGTTTTAAAAACACGCTTAGTTTTAGCCTTTTGCATGAAAAATGACATTAAATGACATCCATTATTGATGCAAATTGAATGACCAATTAAGATTCTGGCCTAAGTATAGGTTGATGAACTTGTAAATCCCTCTGTCCCACCCTCAGAACCATGGATTAGAATCCCATTCTCAAATTAAATCTACTTTCATGTTGGAAAACAATCTAAGAAACTAGTCCCAGCCAAAGTGTTAATAAATAAATATTACCCTGTCACTGGTGTTTGAATCTTAACTGCTAAATGCAAATCTTAGCATAAAGGGACATATTCCACATAATGGTGGAATTTCATACTCTGCAATAGGCCAGCAAACACCCTTCAAATCACACCTCATTGACTGCCTAGGTGATACAGGTCCTCATTCTGACCAAGCACATGGCTCTAGCTTTAACACTAATGATGGTATGCAACATTTTGTTCCTTCAGAGCCAAAACCTCAGTATTTTTTATTGATGTAGCATTCTGCTTTTCTGGACACATTCCACATACATGATCTCATTTAGTTGTGACTTTGTTGGTGTTTATAAAGATGCTTTTACATGAAGAAACTCCACTATGTTTTACCATAGAGATTCATTGTGACAGGAAGGTGGCCTGGGTTCCTGAAGTCTGTGCCAACAGAACACAAACTATTAGGTTCTGTCATGATGGAATGGCTTCAAGTATGGCCTCAGAAATTAACTAAATCTGTTTTCCAAAGACCATTCTAGCTAACAATGGAGAGGCTCATCACCAGGAAGCTAACCACCTGGTGATGATTTTTTTTTGGCCATGGCCGTCCATGAAACAAAGAAAAAATAAAGTCATTCTCAATCCCCTCCCGCATCTGTAATTATGGTGTCCAAATATCAGGAAAGGGAGGTGATAAGAATAACAGTTTTGTAGCATTTAAGCAAACTTTGACTATGGGTACTTTAAATGTGAGAGCCTTATCCAGTGACCAACCAGTAGACATATTGCTGGATGTCCTGTATCATATCAACTTTAACATTCTTGCTATATATAAAACTATAAGAAAGAAGGGAATTGAGGCCAAGTGAAAGGCTAGATGGCTCACAGGCACTCCTTTTGAGGCAAGATAAGGAGAAAGCTTACCTGTTAGAGGTGTGGGATTGGGAGTGAAGTTTCCAGTAGGTTGGAAATGGTTGGAGGGTATAGCCATGGTAAAAGGACTTGTTCAGCAGCAAATCTATAAGGTTGAATCTTCAGATGGCACAATCCTCAAAAAGTCAGACTTTTTCTTCCTTCTAGAAAATAGGTAGGGAAATGATCACTGGTTCTAGTCCTATGGAGATGGGAGCACAGGACACAAGAACTGCAAAAAACATTTTATTGTTTCTGAAGTTTAGTAGTAAAGGCTTAGAATATACAGAATTTCTCCTCTAATCTTTTGCCAACCCCTGTTCTCCCAATCCCCCCCACACACCTTATATATATAGATGTACTATTCGTTACTCCCGTGGTAGAATTGATACTTTTACCTTGAAACTGCCAATCACAATTGAGCAGTCCCCCAAATACTAGATCACCTTGTGTCTCCTTGGATACCCTCTTTCCAAACAGCCCAGGATGAGCACAGAAATACCATATCCATAAAAGTGGAAAGAGACCAAACTTTACTAATAGCCTCTCATCACTGCCTTTTGTTGGTTTATGGACTATGTGACCTCCACTTACAACCTCCATCAATGACTCATCTGGCATAGAAATGACCCTGGGACCTGGAAAGCTAAATCACCACAGCAAAAACTCTGGCATAGCCTAGCAAGCTGGAAGGGCTTCAAGTGTAGGCTTGGAAATACATGATGTCTGTGGTTGGAGGACCCACAGAGCTATGTTAAGAAGCTCACCCCCAGTTCAGCCACCACATGATGAGTTTATTGGCCATGGGAAGCCTGTCTGCCCAGTCACAGAGAGAATACCATCCACATGGATAAAGGAATTCAAAACATTAATAAATAATAAAAAAATTATCACTTACTATGTGGCAGGCACTGTGCTGAGCACTTTATATTACTGATCAATTATTAATTTGATATGTTATGAATATATTTAATTAAATATATTATTGATTCATTCTATTTGATTCTTATAACACCCTGGGAGATATCATTACTATCTCCATTTTTCAGATGAGGAAATGGAGGCAAACTATGGTTAAGACACCTGCCCAGGGTCATATACCTAGTAAGTGTCTGATGTTACATTTGAACTCAGTTCCTTGTGATTATAGGCCTGATGCTCTATCCCCTGGACTACCTAGCTGCCCAAACTATAGATTCTTAAAACCCTGATGTATATGTGCTTTTTGTGATGGGGGGGCAAAGGGAAAAAAGGAAATAACACTAAAACCCCACGTCATTTCAGTTGGGAAAACTCCAAGCCAACCCCTCTTGCTTCGGGGTTCAGTACACTGCTGAGGTATGTACCAGGTCCACATTTTCTGACTCTTCCTCTTTCTGTTCTACACATATTCAGCAAATCCTTCCCTCATTCTATTTTATCTACCTCAGTCTACCTCAATCCCCCTCTGTCCACTCTACCATTCTCAAAATGCACTTACTCAAAAAATGGTAGGTATTTGATCAAACAATAGTTCTTTATCTAGACTCCTTCCTTCATTACCTGCAGGTCAATTTCCAACCACTCTACAACCAAACCTACCCCTGAAGCCGCCCTCCTTTTAATGTACGGGCCTGACTCAGGCTCAGTCCTTGTTGGTTCGGGTTCGGGGTTGGAACGAAATGGGATACTGATAGTTTATTCAACAGTTAACAGAAGGAGGTTTACTTAGCCATAGTATAGTGGCTTCTTTTTTCTTTTTTTGGTGAGGCAATTGGGGTTAAGTGACTTGCCCAGACTCACATAGCTAGTGTTATGTGTCTGAAGTCAGATTTGAATTCAGGTCTTCCTGACTGCAGGGCCTGTGCTCTATCCACTGCATCACCTAGCTGCCCCTACTTAGCCATAGTGTATAAGATACTACAGGACTTAGCTTGGGGAGACAAGGTTCCCCCGTACTCCGAATGAAAACAAGTCTTGTCAGGTGGACAGGTTGTGGCAACTCGATGTCTTGGTACATTGGCCAAATCTGAAGGGCTCCAACTCCACATGACAGGGCCTTTTTAATGCCCGTAGGTGACCCAGGAAAACAAATAAATATGGCCAGAGGCCACCAGGAAGCTGAGTCAAGGAAGATCTGTAAGCTTAAGTCTTACTCCCCAAACCAATTCAGTCCTGGAAACCCCTTTGTTGCCTTTCAGGGAAGGGGAGATGTGGGAGTGAGGAGCTGAAGAGAAGAAATCCTGGTGGATATTGGTCCTCTCCAGCTTTACCTCCCCCCTTAAATAGACCCAGAAGAGAACCAGCATAGGTGTCATATCATCCACCCTCTTCCATAACCTCAAATATACAAGCATGCCTTCTTTTTTGTCCAGTGCCATAGCAACCTTGACCTCTAACAAATGCAAAAGCCCAAGCTGATGGCCGTGAAGGCTTGTACCAGGATGGTGGCGATGGGAATTGGGAGAAGGGGGTGGATGTGAGAAATATGGTGAAAGCAGACCCAATAGACCTCACTAGACAATTGGATTGGGGAGGAGAGGGAGAAGCAGGAGTCAAAGACAGCACTGAAGTTTCAGTTCAACAAACATTTCTTACGCTTCTGCTATTTGTAGGGCAAATACCAAGATCTTGAAGAAGTCATGGCCTCTGTTCTCAAAGAACTACTGCTATTAAGCAGATAAGACAAGGAAAAAACAAATACAATGCAACATAGAAAGCATTGTATACATAGTAAAAGTCTAAGAATGTACCATGGAAGTTCCGAAGGAGGAAAAATTGTCTCTCAAAGAGGGGTGGGAGAGGGTCAAGGGTGACTGGAGAGAGATCAGAGAAGGCTACATGTAAGATTTCTTGGGAATTGCTAAATTAGATGGATCAATACCAAAAGAGTTTCATGGAATAGAAAGAGAAGAAGTGAGATTGCAAGATGAGCAAAAACTGGGCCATTTGCTTCTCCAGATTTTCTTAAATTTAATGAAAAATTACTTTCTCATTATCTAGTAAACTTTCCCTTTTCTCCATACCCCAATTTGGAAATCATTTATACCCAAATATCTTATATATTTTACCAGTCTCTGATTTTTCTCATTGAGGAGTTACTCCAAATATTTTTTATCTAAAACGGAATAAACAAGCTTCAAAATAATTTTCAAAAAATCTTGGGTTCATGAGGAGTTACGTTTTAGTCACAAAAATCTCGTCTGTCCAACACTTATAAACATAACATCCCCAACAACTATTTCCTTCTGGTCTTAGGATAAGATAACATAAGCCCTGCCTACAACAAATATACGAACAAAAATTCTCTTGAAAATTAGACAATTTCCTCAATAGAAAGTGAAAGAAAATAGATACATTTTATTCTAGTTCAATTGCCTGATGTCTTCTTTTCATTTGGTATAACTAGAGAATATTAGAACAGGAAAGGATCTTAGTTATAATCTAATCCAACCCTATCATTTTACAGATGACGAATTTAAGAGTTTTAGAGACAGAGTCACTTTCTCAAGGTATCATAGATAGTGGTAGCGGTCAGGATCAGAACCCAAGCCCCTTGGCTCCTATCATAATTGTTCTTTCAGCTACATAGGAAATAACAAATGCTCGTTACTTCCTAAAACACATTACTTTTTCCTTTAATTTGTTCTGATGTATTCTAGACCCAGGATGCACACACATAAATGTACATATATACACATGCAGAGAGATATTTAAAATATACATATATAAATATTTTATATATATACATTTATATTTATATACATCGATATATTTACATATGTATGTTGTGGTAGGTAAAAGATGAAATGATTGAGGAAACAAAAGTTTGAACTTCCAGGCACATCGATTTGCTACGCAATGCATAGCACCTTTCCAAGTTGGGAGGGGAAGAGTGAAAAGGTTCAGTTCCCTGAAATCAGAAAAAGAGGTGTCCCAATCCCTTCAAGTGTTTGTAAACAATCGAACAATCAAATGAACATGAAAAAAATACTTGATTGGGCAGTACATTATGGGGCCAATTTGCAGATAGGATATATGACTTGTTTGGGTGTACAATTGTCAGATTGCACCAATCCTTGGATCTGACCTGGTTTCTGGTCAACATAACCTAGATCCTTAGTTAAGGTAGAGGTAGTACACCTTCTCAGATACACAGGGCTGCATTCAAACAGTGCAACAGTGCTGGAGAGGACAATTCCTACAATTGAACAAAATTTTCTCACGAGACAAAATTTGGACACACTCATAATTGAATAGAAACAGAGCTAGCTCCAGAATTGAGAATCCCTCAATTCCCACTACCCTTTGCTGTTCTAATTCCCATAATGTGGATGTGTATGTATGTATATATGTATGTACATATGCATATATATACACATATATATGTGTGTTTTATTTTTATGTCTAAGAAGCTATTCTCTTCTTTCTCACTATCTTCTCATTCTCATGGTTTCTCATATGTTCAGAAATTCAAATCGGCACCTATCCTCTGAAGGTCTTGAAGAGCGTTTTTAACAGTGTATTATTATACAACTCTTTAAGATGAAAGATTCTAACTTCATTTCCATTATAGGAAATTCTCTTTTTACGCAGTCGTTGTTACTAATGTAAAAGACCTCACATTAAGAGAACCCTTTAACATTTGTGGAGTGCTCTCTTTATAACGATCTTTGAGTGTTAGGCAACTGTTTCAACCATTTTGAATTTAATGAAACTGAAATCACATCAGTGAGTGACTTTTCCAAGGTTGCACAATTCACAAATGTGAAGAGACAAGATTCCAACCTAGGTCTCTCCTGACTCATATCTTACAGTTTTCCCATTGTACCCTGCTTCCCTCTGCTGATTAATAACAATGAAGATCTCTCTGATTGGGAAGATTTAATTTCTTTTTATGGATTTGATCTGAGAAAATCTAGAGGACTAGATTATTCAAAAACAGGTTTTTCATCTTGTTATTCATCTCACAGTACATAATTGTTACAATTTTAATAATGGGGACTCTTCCAATTTAGGTACCTAGAAAGAGAAGACAAATAATTCAGACAACAAGATAGTGTCTTTTCATAGACATAGATAATTTAGACTAGTTAACAGTCACTGGGGAAAAATTTGTTAGCTCTCTTTCTGTCTGTAGTTGAAAGTAAGTCATAGTATTTTTGTCAGTAATCTTTATTGGGCATAATTTAATGCCATAGTAACCTTGATAAAGCCAAATAAGATAAGAACTGAAATTATTAAGAAATGTATAATATGTGTGTTTATGTGTGTTTAGCGTGTAATATGAATATATTGATGTATTATATTTGTATGTAGATATACATGTACATACATGCATATATATGTATTAGACACATACTCATTTTAACCAGCAGGAGTTCAAAACCTTCAGGTGAGAATCAAATTCACTTTTGAATAAAGAAGCCAAATTCCATTGGATAAATAAACACATTAGGGAGAGGAAGAATTTAGGAGTGTTCAGTTTATATTATCTTTGCAAGACACTTGATTCTCTTCACCCAAGATATGGAAACACCAAGTATCATCAAAATTAATCTGTGCATTGCTTCTACAGGTAAATCTCGTACCCGAAAACCTCTCCAAATGGTAGTTGGCACTTTGTCACCAAGCTCAGTCTTTCTGTCCTGGGGTTTCCTCATCAACCCACAATATGATTGGACCTTACCGACTCAGTGTCCTAATGACAGGTAATTTACCAAAACTCAGTTTCCTTATCCTAAAATAAACATGTGGTTTAAATCAAGTAACAAACACTTATTAAGAGCCTATAATGTACTTGTTGCTGGAGTCATAAGACAAAACTGGAGAGGTCCCTGCCCTCAAAGAACTTACAGTCTATCAGAGGAGAGAGCATTTATACATATAAGTTGATACCAAATATAAAATACACACACACACACACACACACACACACACACACAAAACAAACATAATTGACAGGAGGAAGGACTGGCATTTAGGGGGATCAGAAAAAGCATCACATACAAGTTTGCAGTTGAAGTGAACTCTGCAGGAAAGCAGGGATTCTAAGAAGCAAAGGTGAGGACAAAATGCATTCTAGGCATAGGGAACAACCTGTACAAAGACATAGGAAAACAAGATGTGGAATGTCAAATGTGAGAAACATCAAAAAGGACAGTTTGACTGGAATGTAAAGTGAATAAAGGAGACATATAATAAGCCTGGGAAAATGGGTTAGAACCATATTGCAAAAGGCTTTGAATGTCAGAGAAATTGGTATTTGATCCTAGATGTAATAGGAAGCTACTGAAGTTTTTTGGGCAAGGGAGTGACATGGTCAGATCTGCACTTAAGGAATACAATTTTAGCAGTTGTATGGAGGCTAGATTGGTGAAAGGAGAAACAAGGCAAACTACAAGTCTCAAACATGTTGTCCACAGGTTACATACTGCCCACAACACTCCCAACTTTGACCTGGGCCAGATTAAATGTAATTGGGAAATATTTAACGAGATAAATAAAAATACAGCAAAACATAAATAATATTAATGTGATTTGCTAAGTCAATGTGAAATCCACAGGGATCCTTATGAGTGGCTTAGTGGCCTCCATTCCTATTTGAGTTTGACAGCACTTGTTAGGAGGCCACTGTAATAGATAAGAGGTGATGAGTGGTAGTTGTGAGTAGAAAGAAAGAAAGAGATGTGAGAGATTTTTGCAGCAAGAATTGGCAAGGCTTGATGAGTGATTGGATGTGGTGAATGAGGAAGGGTATAAAGTCAAGGATGATTCTCAAGTTGTGAATCTGGGCAACTAGAAGGAGGTATGACCCAATAAAATATAGAAGTTTGGAAATGGGGTTCATTTTGGGGAAAATATAATGAATTGTTTTGGCCATGCTGAAGCTGAGTTGACTATGGGACAGCTACTTCAAAAATACAGAGAATGGATATATTTATTTTAGAAAAGTTTATCTTTATGAACAACAGATAATTATGGAGTGCCTCTTTTGTGTAAGGCACTGTGTTAGGTACTAAAGATGTAAAAGCGAAAAAAAAAAAGCAGTGTCTAGACTTTGAGCCACCATTTATATGAACAGACCTAACTATGGAAACTTTTTTTGTTTCAATTTTATTAAAATTTCTAACTTCAAATATCTAAAGAGATTGCATAATGTTTTGAAACAATGGTTCAAAAGTTTAACATACCATAAACATACCAAAATTTTATCCAAATAATTTTACCCCAAAACTGCTCTATTACATAAAAATTCAGACCTGGGGAGGGGTTTAATTTTTTAAATTTGATTTTGATTTCTTTTGACAACATTTGTCTTTGCTTATAAAAAAAAAGGCCTCTGGAAAACATTTGTCCATGTTCTCAAATATCAATAATCTCTCACAAATACATTTTGATTATGGAGATGAATCAGGAAAAAAAATGAAGATTAAATTTCCTTGAAAGTATTCATGATTCTGAAAAGCAAAGTGTTTGGCAAAAGAAGTTGACACTTTTGCCAAATCCAAATTTGTCTGACAAAAGATTTCGCCAACATTTGACAGAATCTGAAGCATCTCAGTTTCACCTATCACTAAGCAAGTCTTCATGCCCTTGAAAAAGCACACATTCTTCTGGTAATTACAGGACAAGATGGTTTGGGCCCAAACACCAATGCTATGAAAACAAATAGTTGTGTTAGTTTAAGGTTCCGTTTCAGTTTTTCAACCTCTCCTAATAGTTAAAACCAGAAAGAATTTAAAATTCCAAAATGGTCTTGATGAGGGTAAAGTTGGTGCAAGATGTGAACCAATGATTTTGCCTTTCTTTGTGTCACTAGCATTTAGCACAGTGCCTGACACATACTAGGTATTTATTAAATGTTTACTGACTGAAAATGTTCATTGATTTACTCAGCTTTACTCTATCAGTCAATCTCAGAAGTTATTTGTTTCCATTGATCAGACACGCCCCTACTCCCCCTAGGAAAATTTGCATAGAGATTGCATTGGATTCCATCCAATTCTCTACTAACCAAGTCATTTTTTTTTTTATGTTCACCCAATGTCTTTCACATGAAGGACCTCTCTTATGAATAAATATTTATTGGTTGAAATATGCTTCAGAGGGTCAAATAGCACAAAGAAATATTGACTATAGAACAGGGTGAAGAGGAGATAGCTTTGAGTTAAGCTTATAACCTGACCTAAAATAATATGTGGAAACTATTATAAATTTACCTAAGGGGCAGCTCGGTGGCGCAGTGGATAGAGCACCGGCCCTGGAGTCAGGAGGACCTGAGTTGAAATCCGGCCTCAGACACATAACACTAGCTGTGTGACCCTGGGCAAGTCACTTAACCCCATTGCCTAGCAAAAAAAAAAAAAAACCAAAACCAAAAACAAAACAAAACAAAAAACAAGTAAATTTACCTAGTAGGAGTGTGTGACATGCAAATTCTTAGGAGATAACATCTAATAACAAACTTAATTATGGCTATGCCAGAGATGGCTACTTTGGGCACATTAGTCAACCATTTTGTTTCTTTACTCCTTTATGAAGATGATGGAAGTAATTATATGGAGCAACAGAAAATTTTAATAGATAAGAATAAAAACATGTATGTAGGATGTTTCCAAAGTCTTAGTGCAATTATAAGCTGTTAAAGACTTTTGAGACACCCTACTTAGCGTTTTCAAGTGTTTTCCTTAGACCTACTACCCTCTTTGATTTGGTTGTACAAGCATCATCTCAGTTTTACTAATGAAATGGAGGCTTTGAGAGGGTAAGGGATTTTCTGCTAACTATACAACACAGCTCACAATAGTTATATCTAGGATTCAAATCTAGGACTCCCGACACCAAATCAAACAATCTTTTCACTATGCCGTCATTTCTGCAATTTTTGGCATGATCTTGGCATGACTTTTCCCTCCTTGAATCCTATATAGCTCTTTGTACTTTTTTCTGCACTTATCTATCCTGTGCTATAATTACTTGTCAATGGATCAGTTCTGTAGGAGATGCATCATGGTTTGGTGTACGGATCACCAGACTTGGAATCAGGAAGACCTGAGTTTGAAACTTGCCTCAGATATTTACTCTGTAACCATGATGTAAGCCTTGGTTTCTTCATCTATAAAATGAGGTAGTTGAACAAGGAGCTCCTCCGTCTATGACCTATGTTTTATCCCTCTTATTAAATTGTAGACCTAGATGTTTCATCTCCCTCTTAGACTATAGGATCCATAAACTACTGTATTCTTTGTTAGTATTTCCATCAGAGGATGAGTACCAGAATGCAAAGGCTAAAATTCAAAATCAATTATTCAATTTATTAAAAGTCAATTCAACAATTCCATTCAATAAACCTTTATTAACTGCTGGGTTTATAAATAAAAGATAGCATCTGCCCACAAGGAGCTTACAATCTAATGGGGAAAGACAATACCCAAAGGGAAGCTGGTGCTAGTGCCTTCATCTCTGAGGCTGTCTTTTGCCTACTTTATATGTATCTTGTATATATGTATATGTATATATGTATATATATGTATAGCAAGAGTAAGTGTGTACATATATGTCTATGTATACATACACACACACACACACACACACCCTCACGCCCATGAAAAGTTTTTGAGGATTTTACTTTTAAGAGACTCTTGTACTTTTAAGTTTTTATTCCCAGTTCTTCTTACAATGCCTAGAACATACTGAGGTCCTTGTAAATACTTCTTGATCCATTGACTGGAGGCAGGACTGGGAAAGAAGAGAGAATGGAGGTAGGGAGGTCAATTAGAATGCTATTGTAATAGTTCAATCAATAGAAGATGAGGGCCTAAACATTTTTCCAGAAATGGGAATCCCAGAAGAAAATGTAAGAGAAAAAGGTCAGTTGGAACAAAGGGTGCAGAAAATAAATACCCAGATAAACATTAATTATTCAAAATCTGCAAATACCATTTATAGGTATATGCAAATATAACAGTAATCAGATCTGACTAGAGGGAAAGGTGTGTAAGGGTGTATAAGGGTGTGTGTGTGTGTGTGTGTGTGTGTGTGTGTGTGTGTGTGTGTGTATGTGTGTTAGGGAATGGTAGGAAAGAAATGGTTGGATAGTTAGAGTTAGACCTGATAAGGAAGGGCTTTGATAAGTAGACTGATAAATTTAGGTAGGGAATAGGGATCCATTGATGGTTTTACAGGATTAAAGTGGAGCAATGGATAGAGAGCTAGGCCTGGAATCAGGAAGACTCATCTTCCTGAGTTCAAATCTGGCCTCAGATACTGGGCAAGTCACTTAACTCTGTTTACCTCAATTTCCTCAACTGTAAAATGAGCTAAAGAAGGAAATGGCAAACCACTCTAGAATCTTTGCGAAGAAAACCTCCAATGGGATCACAAAGAGTCAGACACAACTGAAAAATGAGTTAAACGACAGCAGGTTTTGATCAACAAAACAGGTTATTTTTCATCCAGGAATGCTTGGGAAAATTTCTTCTGATCCTGGACATACTAAGTCCTAATGTGTATGTGCCCTCATTCACAAATTGTAAAAAGAAAGAACTGTAAGTTAAACATGTTCACCCTTTAGTGTATACCTTGAGGAGAATCTAAAAACTGAAAGTTGCAGCCCTGGTCCAGAACAATGCAAATAGTAACAAAAATGTTCACAACCAGAGAAGAAAAATGACACCCCATTTTCAGTTTCCAAGACAACAGAAAAAAA